CCCCCCCCTCAAGGAAGGATTATGGGCCCTCATTTACACTAATCCTAACCTCTTTTAGTTAATTACCCCCTAATTAAGCGCCGCCCCCCCTTTTTCCAGACTTTTTAATCCAGAGTACTGTAGTTATGGATGAGCAATCCGTGCTTAGTAAAATTGGGATGTTTTAGACCGATTTTCGGCTCATTTTTTGACCAGTTTCAAGGATTACTGTAGCCGGGCTGTTAAGGATGAGCAATCAATGAATTTTGACGGATTTTGAACTATTTTGGACCAATTTAGAACTATTTTAGAGTCATTTTTGGACTATTTTGGACCAATTTTTCTCAAAATTTCCAGACTCCGCCCACTTTGCTCCGATCGAAAAAGCGCGAAACGCGAATCGCTCGGTTTCACTGAACAATATAATGACGACATCATCGCCAACTACAGTACCCCGGAATACGGTATTTGATGGATTTGGTGAGAAAATTGACGATTTTGAGCCGATTTTTGGACATTTTAGGCCAAATTTCAGCTATTTTTGGCCACTTTTGGACTATTATAGGCCATTTTGAACCATTTAAGACTGAATATGGACCACTTTTGAGTCATCATTTTGGACCATTTTTTGGACCATTTTAGACCAATTTTGGACTATTTTAGGAGAATTTTCGGCCATTTTTCACCTACTTTGGACTACTTTTGGCTGATTTTAAACCATTTTAGTCTATTTTAGACCTGATTTTGACGATTTTCGGAGCATTTTAAACCCAATATGGACCATTTTTGACTGATTTTCACCGAGTTTAGGACCATTTTAGGCCAATTTTGGACTACTTCTGGCCTATTTTCGACATAATTTAGGCCTATTTTCGACATAATTTAGGTCTATTTTCGACCTAATTTAGGCCTATTTTCGACATAATTTAGGCCTATTTTTGACATAATTTAGGCCTATTTTTGACCCATTGCTCATCCTTAACTATTTTCAGCGCCCGGAGCCCTTCGCCACTCGATTTCTACGATTCAAGTGAGCCCACAGAAGCTCCGAGAGCTTGAACAACAGAATAAAACGCATCCGATCCCATCACTGGCCCAGTTTCGAATTCCCAAATCGACACGGACCATATTCCCACTCCCACTGATGGACATTGATGAGATTAGTGGGAAAGGAGTGAGAAAAGATAACAAAAGGTGGGGGAAATTTGGCTTAAAATGGTCTGCCTTTGGTTGGAAATAGGCCTAACTTAGGCTTAAAATGGTCCACAAAGGCCTAAATTGAGTCGAAAATAAGCCTAAATTAGGTCAAAAATAGGCCTGAATTAGATTGAAAATAGGCCTAAAATAGGTCAAAAATAGGCTTAAATCAGGCCAAAAATAAGCCTGAATTAGATCGAAAATAGGCCTAAATTAGGTCGAAAATAGGCCTGAATTAGATTGAAAATAGGTCAAAAATAGGCCTGAATTAGATCGAAAATAGGCCTAAATTAGGTCTAAAATAGGCCTAAATTAGATTGAAAATAAGCCTAAATTAGGTCGAAAATAGGCCTAAAATAGGTCAAAAATAGACTTACATTAGGCCAGAAATAAGCCTAAATTAGGTCGAAAATAGGCCTGAATTAGATCGAAAATAGGCCTAAATTAGATTGAAAATAGGCTTAAATTAGGTCAAAAATGGGCTTAAATCAGGCCAAAAATAAGCCTAAATTAGGCCTAAAATAGGCCTAAAATGGTCGAAAATAAGCCTAAATTAGGCCTAAATTAGGAAATTTCACTAAAATCTCAGATTGCTCATTCTTAACTACAGTAATCCTCGAGAAAAACCATTTTTAGACCATTTTAGGCCTATTTTAAGCCATATTAGGCTTATCGTAGGCTTATTTAGGCCCATTTAAGCAATTTGAGGCATATCTCAGGCTATTTTAGGCCTAATGTAGGCCTATTTCCACCCATTGCTCATCCTTAGTTCTCTTTTACAGTACCCAACGCCACTTCTCTGGTCAAGCAATCTCCGCTCAAATTCACGGACCACCAGCAACGTCACGTAGCTACAGTAATCCTACAGTACCCCAGGAAGGAAGAGCGGCCCGCCCAACGACAGCTTCTCAGGCGAAAAAAGTGGATTTTCAGCTGGGAAATTTAAATTTGGCGCCAAAAAATTCGAATTTGAACTCGAAAAATTCAAATTCCCGCCGCCCGCCGGTGCCCTACTGTAGCGCCACCTCCTCCGATGGCACCGCCTACAGTATCCATACAGTAACCCAACAGCTGTTGGGTACTGTAAAATCCCTCCACCCCGATTGGCTTCAGATGACACGACGTCTTCTAGCTGGAAATTCAGATGACGTGGCATCTGAATTCCGACGTCTTCTGATTCTGGAGAAGGAGAATTTGGAGACGAAATGGCGTCAGAATCGAAACGATAATCCGTTCGAGGAGGATCCGATTCAGAGGATTACTGTAATTCGGCGGGCTCTGGAGAAGCTGGAAAATCTGGGACACCTGTCGAGGATCCAACAGTTGAAAGTTATTCATTCGGCTCTTTTGAGCACCTAGTATGGCCCCTGCTTGGCTCTGTATGGCCTAGAAAGTATTATAATTGAATTTCCCGCGTTTAGAGCTTCAAAATGAGCCTAAACACGGCTATAATTGGAGCGTTTTGAAATTTGACCAAATTTGTATGGTCCATAACTTTTTCAGTTTTCGTCTAAAATCGATGAAACATTGATTTTTAAGTTCCCCATGTTATGAGCTTTAAAATGAGTATAAACACGACCATATTTGGTTAATTTTGATTTTTGCCCCATGGACCATGCGCCTTTAAGGTCAAAAAGCAATTTTTCAGAAGTAGGCCATGTTTATACTCATTTTGAAGCTGAGGAGGAGGGGAATACGAAAATTTGTGTTTTATAAAATTTATTAAAATTGGAGGAGTCAGGGACCATACCAGACAATTGCTAAAATCCAAAAATTGGTCCTAACTTTTTCAGTTCTCCTTAAAATTCTATAAAACTTATATTTTTGAGTTCGCCTTGTCACGAGCTTCAAAATGAGTATAAACACTACTGTATTTGGAGAATTTGGATTTTCGCCCCCGGGACCATGCGCCTTTAAGGTCAAAAATTGATATTTCTAGAAGTAGGTCATGCTTATACTCATTTTGAAGCTAAGGACGAGGCGAATTCGAAAATGCAAGTTTCATGAAATTTAGAGCGAAAATTTAAAAGTCAGGGACCATAGAAATTTGGGAAAATTTTCAAAATTCTCCAAACTTGGTCGTGTTTATACTCATTTTGAAGCTCGAAACTTGGGAAATTCAAACATATAAGTTTTATGAATTTTCGAGAAAAATTGGAAAATGTAGGACCCCTTTAAAATCCTAAATATTGTGTAATTTTTATCGTTTAACGATTTTTTTTTTGATATATTACTTGTCTTTTTTTTTCAAAAACTCATTTTTTGTCCCTTTTGGTCCAACCAATTCTTCTATTTTTCCCCTGTTTTTCTTGTACCTACCGTACCCCATTAATCTTTCATTAAAAAAAAACTACAGTACCCAATTATCATCCAATTATCCCCAATTATTTAATTACGTTTTTTTTTCTTTCTCTCTTTTTTTATTAAATAAAAATTGCTTTTCAATTTCGAAAAAAAAACTGTAATTTTTGACTAAAATTGACTCACCGTAAAACCTGTAATAGAAGGGCTCTCTAGCTTCCAACAACTTTGAGCCCAGTTATCTCGATTCCCATAAGAGATATCAAAAATTAGTCAACTGATAAAGTGTTTATCATAATAACAGCAATGTTTTATCAGTTGAAACCTTTTTGATATCTTTCACAGGAATTGAGATAATAGGGCTCCAAGTTAGAGATCCTTTCAAAGCACTATTAAAAACCCTCTAACTTGGAGCTCAATTATCTCGGTTACTGTAAGAGATAGCGAGAAGGTGTCAACTGATAAATTGATTATCATAATATCACCAACATTTTATCAGTTGACATATTTCTGGTATCTCGTACATTATCCCAGATAAATGGGAGGCTAAGTTGACAGTGTGTGGGGGCCCTTCTAATGCAGGTTTGAAATTTTCAGATTTTTTGGCAGCTGCTGGACCAAACTACAAATTTTCTTTGGATTTCGAAATTTTGGCGTTTTTTTTTTCAATTTTTTCCCAGTTTAGACATTTTTCGAATAAATTATTTATAAAGCCATTTTTCTTAATATTCTTTAGCCTTTTTCGTTTTTTTTGTTTCAAAGGCTTCCTTCTTTTTTCAGACATTGCTCAGTTTTTTTTTTCGCAGCTGAGCAAACTAGAGTTTATTCTACTAAAATTTCGGTCAAATTTCAATTTTCCTGGCAGCAGCTGAAAAAACATTTATTCTTCCCAATTTTTCACAAAACTAGAACTTCCGTTCCAGGGGTTTAGAAATCCGACTGATGGCCTAGAAAATACTTCCATTGAATTGTCCTAGCTTAGAGCTTCAAAATGAGCCTAAACACGGCTATAATTGGTGCGTTTTGAAATTTGACAAAATTTGTATGGTCCATAACTTTTTCAGCTTTCGTCTAAAATCGATGAAACATTGATTTTTGAGTTCCCCATGTTATGAGCTTCAAAACGAGTATAAACACGACCATATTTGGGGGAAATTTTGATTTTTGCCCCATGGACCATGCGCCTTTAAGGTCGAAAATTGCATTTGTTACAAATAAGGCATGCTTATACTCATTTTAAAGCTGGTGACAAGGCAAATACGAAAATCTGAGTTTCATGAGATTTAGAGCGAAACAGCTGAAAGATTTATTTTTTTTCATTTGCCAGTTTTTTGCAAAACTAGAGAATTCTGTTTTCTAGGTCTAATGGCCTAAAAATTTAACTGATGGTCTAGAAAATATTATCATTGAATTTCACTCGTTTAGAGCTTCAAAATGAGCCTAAACATGGCCAAATTTGGAGCATTTTGGACAACTTTGAAATTTTGCCAATTTTGTATGGTCCCTAACTTTTGGACTTTTGCTCAAAAATTGATGAAACTTTAATTTTTGAATTTGTCTAGTCATGAGCTTCAAAATGAGTATAAACACGACTATATTCTGATGATTTTCAGTTTTGACCATTTTCCACCTACCCCCTATGCGCCTTTAAAGTCAAAAATCGAATATTTCAGAATTGAGTCGTGTTTATACTCATTTCAAAGCTCATAACAAGGCAAATCCAAAAATATAATTTACAGCAATTTTGAAGCAACACTGAAAAAGTTATGTTCCATCCAAATTTTGGCCAAATTTCAAAATCATCCGAATTGGGCCGTGTTTATACTCATTTTAAAGCTCTAAACATGATGAATTCGAAAATCTAGGTTTTTCCCCAAAAAGTAATAAAAGATTTGAGGATCCAAGAGACTTGTTCCATTGGAGTTTGCTCACATCAGCTCTCGTCATTTTTGAGATCAACATTTTCTTTTTTTTTCAAATTTTTGAGTAAATAAACTTTACTTTTTCGTCTCAAATACCAACTAACATCACTCGTTTTAGCTGGGAAATTATTTTTCTAACAGAATATTAAAAAAAAAATTTTTTTCAATTTTCCGAAACAAAACTAGAGAGTACTGTAGATCTTAAAGACGCAGAGAAAAACAAAAAAAACAGAAACAAACACAGTCAATTAACTGGGTAAACTTTCACTTTTCTGTCTATCTTCTTTTTTTTTGCAAAATTTCCATGTTTCGTTCCGCATTCTTGTCTTCTGATTTGAAAACATTGATACTGCAACGTCTAGTGGCCTAGAAATCCAACTGATGGCCTAGAAAATATTATCATTGAAATTCTCAAGGTTAGAGCTTCAAAATGAGCCAAAACACGACTACAATTGGACAAGTTTGAAATTTCGCGATTTTTCAAGGGGTCCTAACTTTGTCAATTTTCAACCAAAATTTATGAAATTTAAATTTTTGAATTTGCCTTGTTATACGCTTCAAAATGAGCCTAAATACGACCTATTTCTAAAAATTTTCATTTTTCACCTTGAAGGTTCATGGTCCATGGGGCAAAAATCAAAATCACCTGAATATGGTCGTGCTTATACTCATTTCAAAGTTAAAGACAAGGGAAATTCAAAAATATTGTTTTCGTTGATTTTAGATGAAAACTTAAGAAGTTGGGACATCTCGAAAATTGACAAAATTAAAAAATTTTGGTACTCCACCGCTTTTTTTTCTTCGAAACTGAAAAAAAGTAAAAGAGCTATTTCCAGCTAAAACATAATGATGTTTGATAGTATTTACTCAAAATTTTAAAAATGAAGAGAATGAGAGTTGTGAGCAAACTTCAATGAAACAAGTCCCCAATTTTGTATGGCTCATAACTTTTTGAATTTCTCTCCAAATTCAATAATACTGATATTTTTGAATTTCTCATGATTAGAGCTTCAAAATGAGTATAAACATGGCTAGAATTTAGGAACTTTAAATTTTGGCCAAGTTTTTATGGTCCCTAACTTTATCAGTTTTGCTATGAACCCCATGAAAGTAGAATTTTCGAGTTTGACTTGTCATGAGCTTCCAAATGAGCCCAAACACGGCATGTTTCAGAAAAACTCGATTTTTGACTTTAAAATCGCATGGGGGTCCAAGGGGGGCAAAAATCAAAACCATCCGAATATAGTCATGTTTATACTCATTTCAAAGCTCATGACGAGGCAAGTTCAAAAATTAGAGTTTCATCAATTTTGAAGCAAAATTACAAAAGTTAGGACCCCTGGAAAATTTGAAAAATTTCAAAATGCTCTAAATATGGTCATGTTTAGGCTCATTTTGAAGCTCTAAACGAGTGAAATTCAACTTTATTATATTTAAACTGAAATTTCAATTTTAGGAAAAGTTAGACTTGTTTAAACAAGATTAACCTTCCCTCCCCCTCCCCCTTTATTTTGTTTAGAGAATGTCTCTAGTATCCCTCCTTCCCCTTCCTCATGCCTCTTTTCTGTTTCTCTGCGTCTCTCTAATTACACACACACACACACACTCTCTCTCTCTCTCTCTCTCTCTCTCTCTCTCTCTCTCTCTCTCTCTCTCTCTCTCTCTATCTTACTCTCTTGTCTCTCGTTTTCTGCCATTTCACCACCATCGAAAGAATGTTTCTCATTTTGCCCCCACCCCCCATTTTGCGGTCATTTTCTCACTTTTTAGTACCTTTTCTGTCTGTAAATCGGTTTTTCCAGATGTCCAAAAAAAGAAAATTTGATTAATTTCTATTTTTTTGCCAGAAAAAAACGATCAGAAATCTGATAAATCCATTTTTGTTGATTTCTGATTTCCAAAAAAAAAATCTTTAAACTACAGTAACCTCCTGGATTTTGGTCTAAACTTGGAAATTTTAATTTTTATAAATTTGTCATGTTTAGAGCTTCAAAATGAGTATAAACATGGCATGTTTTGAAAAATTTCTAAATTTCGAGGTTAAAGGCGCATGGACCCCTGGAAGAATGAAAATTGAAGAAACTAGGTCATGTTCATACTTATTTTAAAGCTTATGGCACACCAAATACGACATTTTCATTTGACCAAATAAGGACCCATACCTTCGTTGAAATAAATAGATTTAATTAAATTTAAAAAAAACCCGCCAATCTTTTTATGGACCATAAATTTTTCAGTTTTGCTCCAAACGCGATAAAAATTATGTTTTTTGATTTGTCTTGTCGTAAGCTTCAAAACGAGTATAAACACGACATGCTTCCACAAATTTTAAATTTTGACCTTAAAGGCGCATGGTTCAGGGGCAAAAATCAAAATTATCCAAATATAGTCGTGTTTATACTCATTTTGAAGCTCATGACTAGAAAAATTCAAAAATTAAAGTTTCATCAATTTTTGAGCAAAATTACAAAAGTTAGGGCCCATACAAAAAAGAAAATGTTGATCTCAAAAATGACGAGAGCTGATGTGAGCAAACTCCAATTAAACAAGTCTCTTGGATCCTCAAATCTTTTATTACTTTTTGGGGAAAAACCTAGATTTTCGAATTCATCATGTTTAGAGCTTTAAAATGAGTATAAACACGGCCCAATTCGGATGATTTTGAAATTTGGCCAAAATTTGGATGGAACATAACTTTTTCAGTGTTGCTTCAAAATTGCTGTAAATTATATTTTTGGATTTGCCTTGTTATGAGCTTTGAAATGAGTATAAACACGACTCAATTCTGAAATATTCGATTTTTGACTTTAAAGGCGCATAGGGGGTAGGTGGAAAATGGTCAAAACTGAAAATCATCAGAATATAGTCGTGTTTATACTCATTTTGAAGCTCATGACTAGACAAATTCAAAAATTAAAGTTTCATCAATTTTTGAGCAAAATTACAAAAGTTAGGGACCATACAAAAAAAAACGGTCGAATTTCAAAGTTGCCCAATTATAGCCGTGTTTAGGCTCATTTTGAAGCTCTCAACAAATGAAATTCAGTGGTACTATTTTCTAAGCCACCAGACGTCAAAGTATTATTGTTGTTGATTACGTGTCTATATTGATGTCTGTGTCTGCACTCTCCAAATCTCTTTTTTTTCAATTTATATATTTTTTTTCGTCTCCTGATGATTCATTCGGAGGGGTTTCTGACCACTAGATTCTCTTTCTCTCTCCCCGTTTTTTTGGCTTTTTCATGTCTTTTAACAATTTCCATGGCAACCAATCACACCCATCTAGACAGCTGAAAATTTGTGTGATTAGCGCTGAAAAATTGGTTTTTTTTTTCGTATTTTCGCCTTTGGGTGTGTAGCCGGTCCTAACCGGTCATGTGAATATAAAAGCATATAATTTCACTTTGTTTATTTCAAAGAAATTCTCGAAAAAATGACCTTTCGCCGATTCGATGGTTGATTTGATATCACTTTTGAATTTGGACCAGAAAACGGAATTTCAAGTTTTTTTGTTGCTTTTTTTTCAGTTTCTAGTTGATTCCCAAGTTTTTCTGTAATAAAATTTGAATTTCACTAGCTTAGAGCTTCAAAATGAGCCGAAACATGACCATAATTGGAGCATTTTGGAATTCGACCAATTTTTGTATGGGTCCTAACTTTTGCGATTTTACTCCAAAAGCAATAAAACTTAGATTTTTGGACTTCTCTCGTTATGAGCTTCAAAATGAGTATAAACACGACTATATTCGGATGATTTCGATTTTTGCCCACTGGGCCATGCGCCTTTAAAGTCGAAAAATGGAACATCCTAGAAATAGGTCATGTTTATACTCATTTTGAAGCCAATGACAAGGCAAATTCAAAAATATAAGTTTCATGTAATTTGAAGCGAAACCCAACAAGTTAGGGACCATACAAAAATGCCAAACTTTAAAAATGTTCCGAAATTCTCCAACATTGGCTGAGTTTATACTCATTTTGAAGCTCTAAACATAAGAAATACAAAAAATGTGTCAGAGTTTCAAAATTTTCTTTTAATTAGCTTCAAAATGAGTATAAACACGGCCATGTTTCAATTAGTTTAATTTTTGCCTCCCCCCCCCCCCTGGACCATGCGCCTTTAAGGTCCAAAAATGGAACATCCCAGAAATAGGTCGTGTAGGGTATCATTTAAAAGCTAAAAACCTCACAAATCGATTAGTAAAAAAATCATGCAATTCGAAGAAATTATTTTTGAGATATAGGACTTTGACCTATTTTCAGCCCGTTTCCAGACTATCTTTCTCTCATTTTTTGAACGAATTGTAGAAATCTTGATTTTTAACAAATATATTTGTAATTTGCGTACTTTTAGCTTTGACATGAGTATAAACATGACCTAGTTTCCCAAATTTTACTTTTTCAAACGGTCCATGCGCCTTTAAATTCCCAATTTACAAATACTACTGTAACTTTTTTAGTTTTTGCCGGAACTCGAAAATTTTTAGTATTTTGAGTTTGACCTGTTTTCAGCTTCAAAATGAGTATAAACACGACCTACCTCTGAAAAATCGATGTTTGACCTTAAAGGCGCATGGTCCATGGGGCGAAAATCAAATTCATGCGAATACAGTCATGTTTATGCTCATTTTGAAGCTAAAGACGAGGTGAGTTCAATAATCTAAGTTTCATCGATTTTAGAGCAAAACTGAAGAAGCTAGGACCAATTTTTAGATTTTGCCAATTTTCTATGGAAAAACAAATTCGAGCAAAACATGTCGTGTTTATACTCATTTTGAAGCTAAAAACGTGCTCAATACGAATAAAATAGTTTAAAACGAAATTTAGAAGATTCTGGATGTTATGACCTGTTCTAACTTTGAGCTTATTAGCTACGGCTCTTCCCGCTTTGTGTGCCTTTCAACTACAGTAGTAAATGTGCCAAGTAGGATGTATAGAGTTTCATTTGAGAGGTTGAACTCTCAGAAATCTAATGACATAGGGAGAGGGATATGGGAGATATGGGACATTCTAGGGAGATATGGGACATTTTCCATAGTAACTAATTTTTTGCTCGCCTTCGCTCATTTTCTCTTGATTTCACTCAATATTTCCTCAACTTTTTAGCACTTTTCAGTCATGCAACATCCAGTGATCAATCAACAACCGGGATACAATCCCCAACAACAAAATCCGGGACAACAATTCCAAATGCAACCAACAATCACCACCCAGCCAGGTGCATTCGTTCAGCCGGCTCCCGGCTCCGTCTGGATGCCACTTCCACCGGCAATTCAAGGTGTCCCCACTGGTTTGGAGTATTTGACCTATCTGGATACTGTAATGGTCCATCAAATCAAAGAATTGATTGAAATCGTGACGGATTGGGAGACCAAAAATAAGTATGTTTGAAAAATGCCAATGGGGAGCAGTGCTACTATGCGTTCGAGGAATCGGGGTGCTGTGAACGGCAGTGTTGTGGACCAAATCGTGGATTCGTTATGCATGTGGTCGACAACTTTAAACGGGTTAGTAAAGTCCAAAAAATTTGGTCCAATAATTTTTTGGTCTGCCAAAAACGGACCAAGAGTGGCTGAGTTAGGCCTGAAAATGACTTATAGTCTCTAGGGCCCATTTTTAGGCAATGGTTCCTCATTCTTTGTAAAGAATTTGTTTTTTTTTTCTGAAAATTCAGATTTTCAGACACATTTTGATGCTAAAACATACCAAGTGCGACGAAAACTAATCGAGTTATGAAATTTTGAAAAAATTCCAAAAAAAATTTTTTTTTTCTAAAATTCAATTTTTTTTTCAAAGACCCATAACTTTCGTAATTTTCAACAGATTTTTGAGATTTTAACACCAAATTGTAGTGAATTCCCTGTTCTTTCAAATGATATACAAATTCATCAATTTTCAGGAGGTTCTGACCATCAAACGCGAGTTCAAATGCTGTGGTGGTGGCTGTTATGGCTGTTTCGCGTGTGTCGGCTGCTGTCAACAAGAATGTATCGTCGAGACGCCTTCAATGGGCGTTCTTGGTGTCATTCGTCAACGCTGCGGATTCATGTCGTCGAATTACGACGTTCTGGATGCCGATGGCAATGTTGTGTTCCAAATCGACGGTCCATGCTGTTGCATGTTGTGTGGATGTCAGGATAAGGAGTTTCCGGTGAGTACTGTAGAAGAGAGTACTGTGGTTTCTTGAATTTCTAAATGCGAACTAAAAATACATCTTTCAAAATATTTATAGCAGTTTTCAGAACTCAGAAATGTCTATTCTAACGCGAGTTATGGCTATTTGAAGTTGGTGGCCTAGAAATCCAAATATGGCCTAAGAAACTAAAGAAAACTAGGCCATGGTATATACCAACATGACAGGATGCTTTATTCAATCACAATACGCTTTTTAGATTTCTAAAATCTCAATTTTGAACCGATTTATGTCCATTTGAATTTTGGAGCCTCATGGCCTAGTTTGGCTTCCTAGGCCACCAACTTAAAATGGCCGTAATATGGCTCGAAATTGATTTTTTGTTTTCGTTATTGTAAACTAGGAATGTCAAAAGTTTGGCCAGCCTAGTGCAGTTTTTAGATTTCAAAAACCTCAATTTTAGACCAAGTTACGGCTATTTGAAGTTGGTGGCCTAGAAAACCAAATTTTGATAAAACTAGGTCGTGTTATATATCAAATTGTCAGACTTGTTTAGCCAAGCAAAATGCAAGTTTTAGATTTCAAAAATCTCAACTTTGAGCAAAGTTGCATACACGGCCGAGTTTTGGATTTCTAGGCCATCAACTTCGAATGGCTCAGATATTTTTTTTGATTTTTTTTAATCTAAAATTGTTTTCAACACCATGAAACAATCCTTGAGCAGAAAGCCAGCTTTCCGATCTCAAAAATCTCTATTCTAGGCCTAGTTATTGCGATTTGCAGTTGGTGGCCTAGAAAACCAAATTTGGCCTAGGTATCCAACGAAAACCAGGCCATGGGGTATATCAAAATGACAGGCTTCTTTAGTCAAAGACAGTGCAATTTTTAGATTTCATAAATATTGACATTGAGCCGAGTTACAGCAATTCGAAATCGCTGGCCTAGAAAACCAAAACTCGACCGCGTCCACAACTTCGCTCAAAATAAATATTTTTCAATTTTGAAAAAAATTTTGAGTTCCTCAAAACATGCCTAACAATTTGATATGTATGATGACCTAGTTATCCAAAAATTCAAAAAACTCGGCCACGGCCGTAACTTTGCTGAGAATCAATATTTTTGAATTGTGAAAAAAGTTTTGAACTTCTCAAAGCATGCCCAACAATTTGATTTATGATATGACTTAGTTTTTAGAACATTTTGGATTTCTAGGCCACCGATTCGAAATGAACCATTTTGCAGATCAAAACGGCGAACAATGGTACGGTAGTCGGCGCGATCACCAAAAAATGGGGAGGCTGCTTCCGTGAGGCATTCACTGACGCCGACACATTTGCAGTCAACTGTAAGCTCCGCCCACTTTTATGCCACGCCCACTTTTTCTAAAAATCGATTTGTTTTCAGTTCCCAGCGATTTGGATGTCAAACTCAAGGGTGTTCTTCTCGGCGCCACTTTCTTGATTGTGAGTATTCATTTTTGGATTACTGTACATTTTTGGGATTACTGTACTTTTCAGGACTTCATGGAATTCGAGCAACAGAGCCAAAATCGAAATGGTAAGATGTTTTTTTGGAATTTTTTTTTTCTGAAATTTTAATTTTCAGTCTAACACCTTTGTCTACAGTAACCCAGCTAATTTATTATTTTGCTACTACAGTAACCCAAATTTTGTTTGCTTTATTGATTTTTTTTATGTTTGGTAGGTCAAAAATGTTTTTTTGAAAATTAAAATTTTTAATTTTCAGGCAACACCACATTCTCAACGTCAAATTGATACTTTTAAGCTCCGCTCACTTTTCTGACTCCGCCCCTTTTGCCCCCCCCCATGAAACCTGACATTTTGAGATATAAAAATTCTTTATTTAATCAATAAAAAATCAATAAATCGATCAAAAATCGATATTAATCATTGTTTTCAGTTTCCTCGCTTCGTTGTTGATCCTCGACACTATTCTCGTCCTTCGGCGGCTCTAGAGCATCCTTTGGGGTTACTGTAGGTGGCGGAGCCTGGGCTACAGTAGCCTTTTCATGCACCGACGTTGAGGAATCGAATTTTTGAGAACTCGAAGCAGTTTGGGTTACGGTCTTTTGGGAACTTCGGCCAATTTTCTCCGATTGCTCATCCACACTTTTGGCTTTCGGCGTTTTTGCGTTCTGAAATAGTTTTTTTTGGGTTTTTAGGTGGCCTAGAAAAACCAAAACTAAGTCATGTTTATCATATAAATGTTTGTCTTGTTTTTCTAAATTCAAAACTTTTTTAAAAATTAAAAAATCTTAATTTTGAGCCGAGTTACGCCAATTTTAAGCCGATGGTCTAGAAAACCAAATTTTTGGAAAACTAGGTCATGTTGTATATCACTTTGTCAGGTTTGTTTAGTTAAGCATAAATCATTTTTCAGATTTCAAAAATACCAATTTTGAGCCTAGATACGGCTTTTTGAAGTTGGTGGCCTAGGAAACCAAAACTCGGCCGCGTCTGTAACTTTGCTCAAAATGGAGATTTATAAAATCCGAAACGTGCATTGTGCTTGGCTAAACAAGCCTGACAATTTGATATAAAACATGACCTAGTTTTTCTAAAATTTGGATTTCTAGGCCACCAGCTTCTAATAGGCATAACTTGGCACACAATGCACATTTTCGAAAAAATTTTGACAAAAAACTTTTTCTTACACTTCTCGATTGCTCATCATCAAAGACAACCATCGGTTTCTGTCTTCCCTTCCATTGTACTTTATTCACATTCACCGGAACTACAGTAATCCCAGGGGGCGGAGCTCCGGATGGGGAAACGAGTGATAGTGGTTGTTGTTGTACGTTTGATGCTTGTGATTCGGGTGACGATGGTTTTTTGGAGCATTTTTTCACTTTTTTCTTCACACAAATCATGAATAGAATCGGCACGATGATCAATGGGTAGAAGAAGACGATGAGCAATGAACCATTTTGAATACTACTGTAATAGAATCTTTATTTTATTTTGGTGGACTTAAAACTAGAGGTTTGGCCGAGTAGAATCCAGTTTTCAGATTTCGAAAATGTTAATTCTAGGCCAAATTATAGCTACTTGAAGTTGGTGGCCTAGAAAACCAAATTTTGAGAAAACTAGGCCATGTTATATACCAAAATGTTAGGCATGCTCTGAGAAGCTTTAATCTTTTTTTAGCATTCAAAAATATTGACTCTGAGCAAAGTTACTGACGCGGCCGAGTTTTGGGTTTCTAGGCCCCAAACTTTAAATGACCGTAACTTGGCTCAAAGTGATGTTTTTGAGTTTTGAAAAATGAATACTAGTCAGTTAAACGTGCCAAGCATTTCAATATGCAACATGACCTAGTTTTCCAAAGTTTTGATTTTCTAGGTCGTCAACTTCAAATGGTCATAACTTGGCTCAAAATTAATATTTTTCGAAAATTAAAAAAAAACAAATAGTCAAACAAAAACCAGGAATTGCGGCAACAAAATACAGTTTTCAGGTTTCAAAAATCTCACTCCTGGACAAAGTTATGACTTCTTGAATTTGGTGGCCTAGAAAACCGAATTTTGAGAAAACTAGGTCATGCAATATATCGAAATGTCAGGTTTGTTAAGCCAATCACAAATCAATTTTTAGAATTCAAAAATATTGATTTTGAGCAGAGTTATGGCCATTTGTAACCAGTGGCCTAGTTTTGGTTTTCTAGGCCACTAACTTCAAATGGTCGTAACTTGGCTAAAAATGAGTATTTTCAAGTTTTGAAAAGTGCATTCTAATCAGCAACACGTGTCAAATATTCTGATATACATCCTGGCCTGGTTTTCCGAAAATTTGTATTTCTAGGCCACCAACTTCAAATTGGCGTAACTTGGCTCAAAATTGATATTTTTGAAAAATTCAAAAACGAAAATGTCCAAAATATTTTTTGTGATTTTTGAACTACAGTAACCCTACAAACCTGCACATCAATTCGAACAAAATTTTGATCATTTTTGAGTGTGCCAAACAATGCCACGTGTCTCGGATGGGATCAGAGGGAAATAAGGTAAATTTTATTTTTTTTAGAGAAATTTTTTGAAAAAATTGAAATTTAGCACCAAAAAAATGTCAATGGGGTAAAAAAAAGGGGGGAAAATTCACGAAAAAATTCGTTGTGAAAATTTGAAAAATTAAAAAAAAAGCGGAATGTACAGAAACCGAAATTGTACCGTAATCGAAAACGAGAGAGAAGGAGACGCAGAGAAGAAAATTTGGGACCTAATTTTTTTGCTAGTGAGAAAAAAAAGATATGAGATCTTTTGATTTTGAGGGTTTTTTGGAATTGAAAAAGAATTATAAAATAAATCTAAAAATGAGGAAAATCAATAAATTCAAAATTTGTATGCTGAATCCAGATGACGTGGCTTCCATTTGAACACTTCTAACTGCCAACGGCGACGTGTGAAGACCTCCGAAATCGCCGGTTTCCCGATCAGTACCGTATAACACTAATTCCCATTTTACTAGCTCGGCATCTGCAAAAAATTGTTTAAATTAGTCGTTTGATTTTTAGTGGCCTAGAAAACCAAAAACTCGGCCAGCAAAATCCAGAAATTTTTTTTTTGAAAAATCTCGATTCTTAACCAAGTTATGGCTATTTAAAGTTAGTTGGTGGCCTAGAAATCCAAATTTACGGAAAACTAGGTCATGTACTATATCATCATGTTTGGCTTGTCTTGCTGACCAATGTACTGTTTTTAAATTTCAAAAATCTCAATTTTAAACCAAGTTACAGCCGTTTGAAGTTAGTGGCCTAGAAAACCAAAACTCGGCCGCGTCTGTAACTTTTCTCAAAATTGAGATTTTTTAAATCTAAAAATTGCGTTGTGCTTAGCTAAAAAAGCCTAACAATTTGAAATACAACATGGCCTAGTTTTTCCAGAAATCTGGTTTTCTAGGCCACCAACTTCAAATAGGCATAACTTGGCTCAAAGTTGATATTTTTGAGTTCTACAAACAGATTATAACATGTCAAAACATGAAAAAAATTTGATATAAAACATGACCTAGTTTTTCCAGAAATCTGGTTTTCTAGGCCACCACTCTAAAATGCTTCCAATTTGGCTCAGAACTGAAATTTTCAGAAATTCTGGAATTTTTGTATAACTCACCATCCCATCCATCATTATCGATTTCCAAAATCCATAGTCCAGCTGCCTGTTCTCCCCAATTATGGGTCGTCATGAATGCCCAATCCGTGAAACCGCTTCTTGATGTGTCACGGGCTCTTTTTGTGAGCAATGTGGATTTGGTACCTAGAATTTTTGAATTAATAAAATATTAACTTTTCGGTAAATTTATATCAGCATTCAGAAATTAAAAACGTAGATTTTAACGCGAGTTATAGCTATTTGAAGTTGGTGGCCTAGAAACCCAAATTTGGCCTAGGAGTCCAAGAAAACTAGGTCATGGTGTGTATCAAAATGATCGACTTTTTTAGTCGAGGACCATGCAGTTTTCAGATTCTGAAAATACCAATTTTGGGCCAAGTTACAGCGATTGGAAGTCGCTGGCCTAGAAAACCAAAGCTCGGCCGCGCCTGTAACTTTGCTCAGAATTAATATTTTTAAAATCTAAAAACTGGCTGAGACAGTATAAAACAATCCTGACAAATTGATATGCAACATGACCTAGTTTTCCATAAATTTGGATTTCTAGGCCACCAATCAAAAATGAGATCACATCTCGCGCTAAAATCAACATTTTTCATTTTTGAAAAAAGCTACAGTAATCTCAAAAAGCCACAAACCTGACGGCGAAGTCAAATAAATTTGAAGATCGCCTCGTTTCGGAGCTTTCAGTGTCACAATCGCTTGGACATGTTCCACATACGACACTTTATTCTCTTCAGCAGCTCCATAGCATCCATCAGAGTAAAGTTGAAGCTGAAGACGATTTCCGTTTGGAATGTTCCTGAAAAGTTGAAAAAGTTTTTGGAAAATTCAAAAATCTCTATTCGGAGCCAAGTTACAGTGGTTTCGAGTTGATGGCCTAGAAACCCGAATTTTTGGAAAACTAGGCCATGTAATATATTAAAATGTAGGATTTAAATTTGAGTAAGCGGATGCATTTTTTAGATTCTATTTTTGAAGTTGGTGGCCTAGAAACCCAAATTAGGCCATTAGACACCAAACTTCAAATGGTCATAACTCGGCTCAAAATTGACATTTTTGAGTTCTGAAAAATACATTTTGATCAGCTAAACACGCCAATCATTTTGATATACAACATGACCTAGTATTTCAAAAGTTCAGATTTTTAGGCCATCAACCTCGCTTCAAAATTGTCATAACTTAACTGTCATAACTCGCTTAACTGTCATAAATTGTCATAACTCGCTTCAAAATTGATATTTTTGAGTTTTGAAAAGTGTATGTAAATCAGAAAAAACTGGAAAACAAATTTCAACTCAAAATTGTTAATGAACCATAACGCTTTTCAAATCTTAAAAATCTCAATTTTAACTCGAGTTACAACCATTTCAAGTTGGTGGCCTAGAAAACCAAACTTTTGGGAAAACTAGGTCATGTTATATATCATCTTGTTTAGCTATTTTTGGTGGATATGATGCAGTTTTTAGTTTTCAAAAATATCAATTTTGAGCAAAGTTACAAACGCGGCCGAGTTTTGGTTTCCTAGGCCATCAACTTCAAATGGTCATAACTTGCTTCAAAATTGATAGTTTTGAGTTTTAAAAATTGTGCTCTAATCAGCCAAACGTGTCAAACATTTTGATATACAACATGGCCTAGATTTCTCAAAATTTGGATTTCTAGGCCATCAGCTTAAAATTGGTGTAACTCGCCTCAAAAGCGACATTTTTGAGTTTTGAAAAATGCATTCAAGATAAGAAAATGAGCCTAATTTTTTTTTGATAAATAACATAATCTAGATTTCCAAAGATTTCATATTCCTATTCCACTGTAACCAAAAAAGCTGGGTTTCTAGGCCACCAACCTTTAGATTGGCGTAACTTCGCCTAAAATTAATATTTTTCAAGTTTGAAAAAAGGAAAATTTTTGTATTACTGTGATTTTACAAGACTTACTAAAAATCCGAGCAAAAACTCACTTGTACCTGCTTGGGTAGAACTGTCTACACCTGTGCTGTTCATCGACTCGTTTCCAAACCTTTGCCAGCTTCACCATCGCACCAGCATCCATCAAACCGTAGCCAAAAGAGTGGGACACATTCCTTCCAACCCCATTTGTGGTCCAATCACCAGCTCGGAGATTAATGGGTTTTGCAGTTCGGATGACAATATGTTGAAGGTCCCTCCATGTTAGATTAGGATTCGCTTCAAGAGCCAAAGCAACAATTCCAGCGGCTAGCGGGGCACTGGCACTCGTTCCAGTGTGCATATTAGTACATGCATGATGTAAATCAGTGGTTACTATCATCTTTTCTCCAGTGGCTCCACTAGAATACGTCGTTGCTAGTGTGGAACTACACGCTTCTGAGTACCATGGAATGTTGCCATTCTCGGTGGCCGAGGAAATCGATAAAGTGTAAATTGAGTTTGTATAACCATCACAATTACACGAATCCGCATCTTTTCCACCATTTCCTGATGCCCAGACAAAAATGGAACCCTTTCCTTTGCGTCCCATTGTGATTCCTTTTTCAAACGCGGACCTTGTTAGTTTAGCGGGTCCGTCTACAGTACGACCATCGTCATCTGGTCCCCAGGAGGCGCTGAAATTAGGTGTTTTTTATGGGAAGAAATATCAAGTTCTCGGAAACTTGAAAACATTTTCAGATCTCAAAAATCTCTATCTTGAGCCGAGTTGTGGCCATTTAAAGTTGGTGGCCTAGAAAACCAAATTTTGGGAAACTCGGCCATTTTGTATATCAAATTGCCAGGCTCGTTTAGTCAAACACAACGCAATTCTTAAATTTCAAAAATCCCCACTTCGAGCAAAGTTACAAACGTGGCCGAGTTTTGGTTTCCTAGGCCACCTACTTAAAATGGCTGTAACTCGACTTGAAATAGGTATTTTTGAGTGTTGAAAAATGTTTCGGAACTAGCTAAACAAATCTGATCCATCAATTTAAAGCATGACCTAGTTTTTCAAAAATTTGGATTTCTAGGCCATCAACTTAAAATGACCGTAACTTGGCTAAAATTCGACATTTTTGAGATTTGAAAAATGTATGTAAATCAGAAAAAACTGAAAAACAAATTTCAACACAAAATTGTTAATGAACCATAACGCTTTTCAATTCTTAAAAATCTCCATTTTAACTCGCGTTACAACCATTTCAAGTTGGTGGCCTAGAAAACCAAAGTTTTGGGAAAACTAGGCCATGTTATATATCATCTTGTTTAACTAATTTTGGTGGATAGGATACAGTTTTTATTTCTCAAAAATATCAATTTTGAGCAAAGTTACAAACGTGGCCGAGTTTCGGTTTCCTAGGCCACCAACTTAAAATGGCTGTAACTCGACTTGAAATAGGTATTTTTGAGTGCTGAAAAATGTTTCGGAACTAGCTAAACAAATCTGATCCATCAATCTAAAGCATGGCCTAATTTTCTAAAATTTTGGATTTCTAGACCATCAACTTAAAATGACCGTAACTTGGCTAAAAATCGATATTTTTGAGATTTGAAAAATGTTTTGACATTAGAAAAACAGGGCAAATTAACTCACCTATAAATATCTATATAATCAGCATTATGTCCAACAGATGCCGCTTCAACCGCATCGGTCACATCTCCATCCAACATTCGAATTCCGCCGATATTCGCGTTATAAGCAATTCCAACGATACACAAACTATTGTTGAAAATTGCGGCCACCTCTCCAGCACATCTTGTTCCATGCCGATTTTCATCCGAAAACTCATATCGAGGCATTGGATCATTATCCCGGTCATTAACATCATATGACGCTCTTTCATCATAATTTGGGGAAATATCTGGATGTGTTCTTTCTAGGCCGTCATCCAGGATGGTTACCACTACTCCTTTTCCAGTGTACCCGAGGTCCCACGCCTCTTTTACATTGTGATCCATCCGAGCGGTAAAGTCCATGTCATTTTGGCCGCGGTTCTAAAAACATACTCTTTTAAAATTTGTTTTCAGCTTGTTTTTCCAACTTTCTAAAATTTAATGCATTTTTCAGACTTCGAAAATATCAATTTTGAGACGAACTACGACCATTCGAATGTTAGTGGCCTAGAAATCTGAATTTTAAGAAAAATAGGTCATTTTGTATATGACCGTATTACACCTGTTTTGAGGATTCTATTTCGATTTTTAGATTTCAAAAATATCAGTTATGAAGCAAGTTATGACCATTTGAAGTTGATGGCCTAGGAAACCAAAACTCGGCCGCGTTTGTAACTTTGCTCAAAATTGATATTTTTGAAAACTAAAAACTGCATCATATCCACTAAAAATAGTTAAACAAGATGATATATAACATGGCCTAGTTTTCCCAAAAGTTTGGTTTTCTAGGCCACCAACTTGAAATGGTTGTAACTCGAGTTAAAATTGAGATTTTTAAGAATTGAGAAGCTTTATGGTTCATTAACAATTTTGTGTTGAAATTTGTTTTCCAGTTTTTTTCTGATTTACATACACTTTTCAAAACTCAAAAATGTCAATTTTGAAGCGAGTTATGACCATTTAAAGGTTGATGACCTAGAAATCCAAATTTTTGAAAAACTATGCCATGTTGCATATCATAATGTTCGACACGTTTGGCTGATTAGAGCACACTTTTTAAAACTCAAAACTTTCAATTTTGAAGCAAGTTATGACCATTTGAAGTTGATGGCCTAGGAAACCAAAACTCGGCCGCGTTTGTAACTTTGCTCAAAATTGATATTTTTGAAAACTAAAAACTGCATCATATCCACTAAAAATAGTTAAACAAGATGATATATAACATGGCCTAGTTTTCCCAAAAGTTTGGTTTTCTAGGCCACCAACTTCAAATCGCCACAACTCGCGTTAAAGTTGAGACTTTTGGGATGTGAAAAGTTCTGTGAGCTTCTCATGACTAGTATTTACAGATTATCTTATAAAAATAATACTAAGAACTTACCAAGTACCACATATCGGTCCACAAAGGGTCATTGGGATCAGGATGTTTGCGATTTCTGGACTTGCTGACTTGTCGTCCCTCATCCTCTTCAATAATCTCATTATCATCCGTATGTCGTCGAATTCGTCGATATCCACGTTTCACTCTTCTTTTTGCCACTTGCTGCTCCATCCAAACCACTTCTTCCTCGTGTTGTAGCTGATTAGCTGATAGGGATCGTGTTTTTCTCGCCGATCGAGACTTTTTTCGATCGTCACGGAATAAATAAAACTCGTCACCCGGAATAATCTGAAAATTAAGGTTCACGAGGTTCAGAGCTTCCAAATGAGTATAATCATGACTAGGTTTGAAAAATTTTCCAAGGGTCCATGCGCCTTTAAACCTCCATTTTTGCATTTTCTACTGTAACTTGCTTAGTTTTTGCCAGAATTCAAAAATTATGATAGTTTTGAGTTCAGCTTGTTAAGAGCTTTGGAATGAGTATAAACATGGCATATTTCAAAAATTTTGGTTTTTTGAGTTTAAAGGCGCATGGACCCTTGGAAAATCTAAATTTCGCAAACCTTGTTGTGTTTATACTCATTTTGAAACATTCAACAAGCATAAAACGTTTCTACATTTTTTTATCTAATTTTAATAAAAAATAAGAGAAGTACAGTACTTTGAAAGCTCATTATCCTGTTTTTGTCTTGCGTGCGCCTTTAGAATACTGTAACTCTCTTAGTTTTTGTTCGAAATCAAAAAAGTTAATATAAATGTTGTTGACTTGTTGAGGGCTTCAAAATGAGTATAAACAAGGCCCACTTTGCAAAATTCCGACTTTCCGAGGGTCCATGCGCCTTTAAACCGTCAAATCACAAATATTACTGCATCTTTCTTCGTTTTTGTCCGAATTTGAATATTTTAATAAATTTGAATTTGTCTTGTTAAGGGCTTCAAAATGAGTATAAACACGACCCATTTTGCGAAATTTCGATTTTCCGATGGCCCATGCGCCTTTAAACCCGAAAAATCAAAAAATCGAAATTGAGCAGAAGGGGTCGTGTTTATACTCATTTTGAAGCTCTAAACAAGCCAAATTCGAAACTTTGAAAATTTTCAAGTTCTAGCAAATACAAAGTAAGATACAGTAAGATTTGTAAATGAGTTGAAAGGCACATGGTGCTACTGGCTCAAAAATGAAAATTGGTGGAAATATATCGTGTTTAGGTTCATTTTGAAGCTCTAAGCATAAGAAACTCAAAAATTTAGGTTTCATTCATTTTGAAGAAACAGTTACTCGGGTTACGGTACTTTTACTGTTTGGCTCTTTTTTGACCGTATCTAGGCTCGTTTTCAACAGATTCTCATGGTTTTTGGCTAAAAATTAGCCAATTTTTCTTCTTTTTTTCAAAAAATGTAAAACTCACCGGACCCAAATTGGTGTACCCGTACTTATTGGCCAAACGATCCGCATCTTCTGCCTTCCCTCCAGCTATCCTAATCGCCCATTCATTCGTATACGTTCTTCTCATCGGACTTGCAATTGAGGATACTGTAGTTGTGACGTCATCTTCAAACTCTCCGGAAGGTTCCGTCAAGTGGGCGGAGCCTAATAAAACAAAAAGGGCCAATGTGACAAGTTGAATGAAGACAGAGCAGTGTCTAAATGAGTTTGCATTGCTCATAGTTAAATTTTGTAGTTTGTAGTCTTTGTAGTTTGTAGTGTGGAAGGTCCTTCTATCGCATTATTTTTCCATAGAGGGGGGTAAGGGGTTTCTGAAAAAAAATTTTTTTTTGGAAAATGAGCAATTTATGCGCCTTTAAGATGAAAAAAAACCCAAAAAATTCTCAGAATCTTCTAGAATATTCTAGAAGGTTCCAGAAAAAAAAATAGAGAACGAAAAAAAAAGATGATGACTAATATGCTGAATTCTAGCATGACACGGCTAGAATTTTAGATTTTAGGCAAAAAGGGAGAGAGTCAGAGACGCAGAGAGAAAGAGGGAGTTAGACGAAAAAGGCGGGGGGAAAAGGCAGAAAAATGAGCTCTCTAAACGGCTGCAGAGCTCCGTTTAAAGGGACACAAGACACATGGGAGAGAGGGAGAAGGCGAAAGAAACTGAACCCCAAAATTTATTCAGTTATTGCGTGTTGCGGGGTCTTATACACTCATCTGGGGTCCAGAAGACCCGAGAAGGAGTTTGAAAATTTCAAATTTTGGAAAAAAATTTCCTAGTTCAAATACATTTTTAAAAACTCAAAAACGTCTATTTTAAGGCAAGTTATGCCCATTTGAAGGTTGGTGGCCTAGATACCCAAAATTTGAGAAATCTAGGCCATCAATAATTTCAAAAGAACCGGCAAGACTCACTGATTGGAACCCACTTTTTAGATTTCAAAAATATTGATTTTGAGCCGAGTTATAGCCAAAACAAGTTTGGAGTCAAATGGCCTAGTTTTGGTTTTCTAGGCCACCAACTTTGAACAGCCATAACTCGCTTCAAAATCGATATTTTCAAAGTCTGGAAATTGTATTGGAATTGCTAGAACAAGCCAAACAGAATTATATATAAAGTGGCCTAGATTTTTCAAAATTTGGTTTCCTAGGCCACCAACTTTGAACCGCTACAACTCGCTTCAAAATTGAGACTTTTGAAAACTGAGAATTGCAATAGAATTGTTGAAACACGCCCAACAAAATGATATATAACGTGGCCTAGTTTTCAAAAAATTGGGTTTCTAGGCCATTTTCCCTCGGTGGCCTAGGAAATCCAAAACTAGGTCAGCAAGATCAAATGAGCGTAACTCGGCTTAAAATTGAGATGTTACAAATTCAAAAAATGCGTTTTGCTGAGAAAAACATTGGGAACAATTTTAATTCACTTATTTTGATATGTCTGGTGGCCTAGTTTTCCGGAAATTCGGTTTTCTAGGCCATCAACCATGAAATAGGTGTAACTCGGTTGGAAATTTGTATTTTTGAAATCTAAAAAGTGTGGTGGGAACGTCAAAAAAATCTATTTAACAATACAATAAAAAATATGGCCTAGCTTTTTGGGTTTCTAGGCCACAATGAGCGGGAACACTAAAAGCGGATAGTTCGCTCAAGTGAGTTCTAAGCTTCCACTAGAAAACACCCAATCGAGAAAGGGACAGTGAGAGTATGTGTGTGTGTGTTGTATTTGAATTTGTGTCTGTCTGTATGATCAGGTAGAGAGAGAGAGAAAGAGAAAGGGAAAAATGTACATAGAGGGAGATGAAGCCTCCCATACAAGGGGAGGCAAACTGAGCAAACATGGATGACCCCCCCCCCCCCCCGAAAATGGAAAAAAAGGAGGAGAGAAAACGGATAAATGACACCTTGTTTGTGGTTTTGGTTGGGTGGTGGCGGCAAAAGGCCCTCCCCGCGAAGAATATAGACACAAAAAAGGACATTGGATTGCTTGTATCCAAAAGAGAATCCAAAAAATCTTGTTTTTAGAATCCAAATTTTATAGTTAGCTTTGAGTTTTTGTTTTGGCTTATTTGCCAGTTTTTCCTACCTCAAACACACTTTTCAAAAGTTAAAAATACCAATTTTAGAGCGAGTTATGACCATTTGAAGGTTGGTGGCCTAGAAATCCAAATTTTCAGAAATCTAGGTCATCAATATATTTAAACAATCAGGCAAGTCCTTCTAAGGCCTATGCACTTTTCAGATCTTAAAAATCTGGAATTTGAGCCGAGTTATAGCCAAATAAAGTTTTGTACAAGGTGGCCTAGGTTTGGTTTTTTAGGCCACCAACTTTAAACCGCCATAACTTGCTTCATAATTGATATTTTTGAAATCTAAAAATTGGAATGGAATGGTCAGAACACGCCAAACAAAATGATATAAAGCATGGCCTAGAATTCATTAAATTTGGTTTTCTAGGCCACGAGTTTCAATTATGTAACTCTCTTTAAAATTGAAGATTTTCGAATTTTCGAAAAATCACTGTGACCAGGAAAACATGGTAAACATGTTCGTTAAAGTTATATACCGATTTCAAAAGTGGTTTTCTAGGCTATCAACGTGGCCTAGAAATCCAAATTTTCTGAAATCTAGGCCATTAATACATTCAAACGATCAGGCTAGCCCTACTGAGACCAAAGCACTTTTCAGATCTTGAAAATCTTGAATTTGAGTCGAGTTATAGCCAAATAAAGTTTTGCACAAGGTGGCCTAGATTTGGTTTTCTAGGCCACCAACTTTGAAGAGGCATAACTCGCTTCAAAATCGGTATTTTCGAAATCTGAAGACTGATGTAAAATTGGCAGAACAGGCCTAACAAAGTGATATCCAACATGGCCTAGGATTCATAAAATTTGGTTTTCTAGGCCACCAACTTTAAAGAGGCTTAACTCGCTTCAAAATTGGTACTTTTGAAATCTGAAAACTGGATAAAAATTTCCAGACAAAGTTCAACACAATGATATAGAATATGGCTTAGATTTTCATAATTCTCAATTTTCAGATTTTTAGACCTTCAAATTGTTGGAAACAATTTTTCTGAATTCACCCAAAGTGTCCCAAGAAAAGATGTTCCATAACTCAGTTTTATAGAATTTCATTTCAGCAAGAATGTATCTTTTTTCGGGGAACTTTTCGGAAAAAAGAATGACAACTTCCGTTTTATTTGAAATCGATCCCTTTTCCACAATTTTTTTCTGCTTCCTCGTTTTTCCGAAAAAAAAAAACGTCACTCTGAAAATTGACCTTTTGCTCTGCCCTTTTCCGGGTCCAAAGATTTGCAATTTCTCAAAAAAAAATTTGCAAAAATCTCATTTTTAAGCCAAGTTACACTAATTTTAAGATTGGTGGCCTAGAAAACCAAGTTTTTGGAAAACTAGGCCATGTTGGGTATCGTTCTGTTTGGCATGCTTTGTTGGACAGAACGCAGTTTATAGATATTTGAAATATTAATTTTGAAGCGAGTTATGGCGGTTTAAAGTTGATGGCCTAGAAAACCAAACCTAGGCCATCGTGGTTAAATATTAAATTGGCTATAACTCGGCTCAAAATTCATATTTTTGAATTCTGAAAAGTGCATTACTGTCAATATGACTTCGACAATTTTTTCGGTATAATGATGGCCTAGATTTCTCAAATTTTGGATTTCTAGGCCACCAACCTTCAAATGGGCATAACTCGCCTCAAAATAGGTATTCTTGAGATTTGAAAAGTGCATGCAAGATAGGAAAAATTGACGAACAAATTGATATGCAAAACAAAACAGCAGAAACTCCAAAAATTGCATTAAAATGCGAAAATGAAATTATAACGGCTCTAAATTGGTGTTTGCGGACCACACACCAGATTTTACGACACTTTACTAAAATTGCCTGAAAACCACTAGTCAGGGGTGAAAAACATCGCTAAATTCGAAAATCGCGTTTTTAATTGGTGTTTGCGTACCCAAACATCGGATTTTACGACAATTTCTCAAAATTGCGTGCTGCCCACCAAAGTTGACGAAAAATGGCTCAAAATAGCTGAAAATTAGGTTTTTTATTGGTGAAAAAATGTGTAAAACTAGTTTTTGATGTCAAATTCTCAAAAAAACTAATGTGGAGGAGTGAAATTTACAAAAAAAATCAGGAAAAAAATTTTTTCGAAAAAAAAAAACTTTTTTGGCAACATTTTCCAAACCAAAAGGAAAAATATAGTAAGGGGTATTCGGGGGCAAAAAATCGAGGAGAAAACGGAGAAAAGTGTTCATCAATCCATCAAAAAACTGCCCCGTTTTTCGACGTCTTCAAAGGCGAAAAAGAGCGGCGCCGACCTTGGACACGCCCCCTTTTTTTTGCCTCGAATGTCTCAATGTATTCATCAAAAATGTCTCAATTCATTCATCAAAAAGAAGCGAGATTTTTGAAAAAGGGTTCATTCGAGAGTGACAAGAGGGATTGAAATTTGACTCGAAACATTTTTTTTTTTTGAAATTTTTTTGGAATTTTTTTTCAATTTATTTTTTGAAGTTTCGAATGTTAAGACGTTTAAAAATGAAGAAACTAACATCAAATCTGAGTCTAGCGTTGTTTTCTACCCTTAGAGCCCAGTTTTCAGGCAAGTGTCGTCAATTCTGGCGTATTGTACGCAATTTTGGAAAATTGTCGTAAAATCTGATGTTTGGTTACGCAAACACTAATTAAAAATGTGATTTTCGGACTCAGCGATGTTTTTTACCCCTAGACCCCAATTTTCATAAATTTTCAGCAAAGTGTCGTAAAATCAGACGTTTAGTACGCAAACGCCGAATTTTGAGGTTTTGGAACTCAATTTTTCAAAATTTCGATGCAATTTTTGAATTTTTCGTACTTTTTCACCCCTGAACACCATTATGCTAGTCTGGGGAAAAAAAAGGTTGAGACGCAGAGAAAAAGTGTGTGCGTCTCCACTTAATATGTGCTATTTAGGCTCTCCGCTTCGATATCGCTACCGTATTCAGACTGCAAAAAAAATACTCTCTAACCTTTTTTTTTCTCAGACAAGCAAAATATTTTTTTCAAGCAATTTCGATTACGGTACGCAGTTTTCAACCTTTTTTTTGAATTGCGTACCAAGCACCACATTTTACGACACTTTGTTGAAAAATGCTGGAAAATGATGTCTAGGGGTAAAAAGTGATGCTAAACTTGAAAATAGTAATGAAAATTGCTGATTTTGAGTGCAAAATTCCCAAATACACCAAATTGTACGACAAATCACACAAAGAGAGCAAAAAATGTTTCGAAATCTGTTGTTGTTTTTTTTTCAATTTGTTTGAAATTTAGAATTGTATAGTTCTTCAAAGACTCCTCTATAGACCAAACGGACCAAAAAAAAACTCAACGGAACAAAAAAAATTTTTGGCTCCGAAGTGCTCCAAAACCAGAAAAAAGAGAAAGAGAGTGCTCGTCCCAAAAGAATTCATTAATTTAATTAAGCGTCTCCCACCCCCTCTTCCCCGGGATTCTTAGAATTTCTAGGACAAACAAATGGACCCCCCAAAGACACCCAAAGTGCCCCCTTCCACTTGACTCTACTCAATTTCAATCTCATTTTGGTGGCCTAGAAACACGAAATTGGGTTATGAAAACTAGAAATTTGAAATTCGCACGTTTAGAGCTTCAAAATGAGCCTAAACACGACTAGGTTCAGTTGATTTTGATTTTCCATCAAACCCAATGGACCCAAAGAGGGGTCATGTGCATTTAAACCTACTGTAACTATTTCAATTTTGGTTTAGGTTGGATAAAAGTTATAAGAATATGTTTGGCTTGTTGGGAGCTTCAAAATGAGTATAAACACGACATGTTTCTAGAAATTTCAATGTGGACCTTAAAGGCGCATGGCCCAGGAGCAAAAATCAAAATTGACGAAACCTAGTCATGATTATACCCATTTTGAAGCTCTTAACCTCTAAAATTCAAACAATTAAGTTTTATAAAGTTTGAACTGAAATTGATCGGGTTACGGTAGTTGTAGATACCAAACAATTTTAAACCTACTGTAACTTTTTACATTTTTGTTCAACATAGATAAAAATTACAGAACAATGTTTTGCTAGTTGAGAGCTTTGAAATAAGTATAAACACGACTATTTTCCGTTGATTTTGATTTCTCGGAGGGTCCATGCGCCTTTAAAGTCGGAAAAAGTCCAAAATCAAATCTTTGCAAAATGGGTCGTGTTTATACTCATTTTGAAGCTTGTAACAAGCTGAGTTCAAAATTTTAACAATTTTCAAATACCGGCCAAAAAAGTTACAGTAAGATTTGTAAATTTTAAAGGTGCATCGTGCTAGTGGCTCATAAATGAAAATTGTTCAAAACATTTCCTGTTTAGGCTCATTTTTAAGCTCAAAAAAAGTTGAAATCAAAATTTTGGAAATTTTCAAGTTCTGGCTGAATTGAAGAAAGTTACAGTAGGATTTTTAGCGTTTAAAGGTTCATGGTGCTTTTTTGACCAAACGTGGAATTTCAGAAAGTGTGACGTGTTTATACTCATTGCAAAGCTCTCAACCTCTAAAATTCGAAAAACAAAGTTTCAAAAAAATATGACAAGGATTAGAAGAGTTACAGTAGTTTTAGATACCAAAAAACACGAATCGCTTAGCTTGAAGCCCGAATTCCTAGATTTCCGTACCCCAAAAATACACCAGCAGATGACTCACAAATCTCAATCAAATTATGTGTGTCCCCCCTTCGAATCGCCTAATTAGGCTCCGCCCACTTTTCGGGGGTCCCTGTGTGTACACAAGGGGGACTCTATTCTCAAGTGGTCCACCAAAAGAGAAGAAAAGGACCATTCAGATGGGGGAAAACTTATCGAGTAGTCTCTCTTATGGTGACAATGCACAAATCCGACAAATCTAAAGTGGAGGACCCCCTGGTCCACACACTTATCTTTGTCTATTCTAGAGGTTCTTTGATAAATGCCGAAATGGAAAATTCGAGAAGTTCCAGGAAGATTCTAAGAATCAGGAATCATGAATGAGGGACTACAGTAACCCTAAAAATATTCGATTCAAATTTTGAAATTCAGCTTGTTTAGAGCTTCAAAATGAGCCCAAACACGGCATGTTTTGGACAATTTTCATTTTTGAGCCAAGTGCATTTCCTACTGTAACTTTCTTAATTCTAGCCGGAATTTCAAAATTTTAACATATTTGAACTCAGCCTGTTTAAGGCTTTAAAAAAAGTATAAACATGACTAGGTTAGTCAAAATTTGGTTTTTCGAGTTTAAAGGCGCATGGACCCTCGGAAAAATCAAAATCAACGAAACCTAGTCGTGTTTATACTCATTTTGAAGCCCTAGACAAGCTGAAAACGTTTCTGATAACTTAATGAAGTTTTAATCAAAAATAAGGGAGTTACAGTAGTTTAAAGACGCATTCGGGCGCAAAAATGGGATAGTCCTGTAACTTTGAAGCCCTAATTTCTTGAAATATTTAAATTTTGAAATTTTTCGAAGAAACCGAGTGTCTCCGTCCTTATAATAAAACCACCCGCTTCCTAAAATCGTTAAAAAACGTGAGAATTGTCTAAAAATCTGTTGGTGATAAGCTGATAAGAAACTCGGCGCCACTTTTTTGATATTTTTTCGCGATTTTTTTTTTCGAAAAAACTATTTCTTGTGATTATCGATTTTGCGAAAAACTGTCAGTAAAAAAAGTTAAACAAAAATTGTGCATTGTTTTGATGACCCTCGTATTATCACCATATCAGCTGATTTCCTAATCTGTATTATTTTTATCAGTAATTTACATTTTCTCGATGTTTCGAATTTCAAAACATCTAATTTTTTGATTTTAGAATTTCTAGAGCTTCAAAATGAGTATAAACACGGCCTATTTTGCTCGATTTGGATTTTTCAAAGGCCCATGCGCCTTTAAACTCGAACAATTGAAATGCAACAAAGTGGGTCGTGTTTATACTCATTTTGCAGCTTTCAACAAGCTCAGTTCAAAATTTTAAAATTTTTCAAGTTCCGACAAAAACGAAGGAAGTTACAGTAAGAAATGTAAATGATGAAGTTTGGTTTAAAGGCGCATGTGGGCTCAAAAATGAAAATTGCTGAAACTATGTCGTGTTTAGGTTCATTTTGAAGCGTTGAACAAGTTAAGTTCAAAATTACAAAAATTTCCTAATTCCGGCCAAAACTAAAAGAGTTACAGTAGGAAATATATTTTGAGTTTAAAGGCGCATGGCTAAAACTTGAAGCGTACTGTTGAAAAGAATTCAGAATGCGTCATATTGTGTGTGTATTCGTGAGGAAAAAAAAACGAGGGTTACAGGGGGTGTAATTACACTAATGGGTGATAGATATGTGGGAACACATAGGGGGGGGAGAGGGGGGGGGGAGGGCAATGGATGGATGACAGACAGGGGGATAAGGATAATGAGGTGGTTGAGGTGGTTGAGGGAACGGATCATTGGATATGATCTAGTATGATCAAGAACTGATAAGGGAAAAAAATCAAACGTTGTTGTCATTAAAATAATGAAAATCGGGGAGAGAAAATACCGTAAACAGCCTAATAGAAATGAATTGAAGGTTCTCCAACTTTGAGCTTATATATCTCGGTTACTGTAACAGATATTAAAAAGTGGTCAATTGACAAAATGTTTATCATAATATCATCAATATTTTATCAGTTGACCACTTTTTGATATCTTTCACAGAAACTGAGATATATGAGTTCAAAGTGTTGACTGAACTGTAAAAATTAGTAGAGTTATGGGATTTCGAAAAATTCAAAATTTTCGAAAAAAAATTTTTTTTTTGAAAATTTTCAATTGTTTCAAAACTTCGGTTTGGCTGGTTTTGGTATCGAAATGTGTGAAATTTTTAGAATTTTTAGAAAATTCAAGAAAAAATTTCAAAAAATTTCAAAAACTTGCGAAAAACGTCCCAAATCGAGTTCCAGGAGAAGAGGAATCTGAAAAAATATCAAAATTAGAAAAAACAAAAACAGAAAATTTTCAGAACAACGAATGTGTCATTTCCAGATGAGCAATAATAGGAACAAGAGAGAGAGAATGACAAAAAAATGACAAAAAAAAAACGGAAAAAATTCTATTGAAAACTTATGATGAGTAATGACATATGTTTTGTGATTTTTTAAAACTTAATTGAAACATAGCTAGCTTATCTCTTTTCCGATTTTGATGAAATTTAACTCTTTGAATTCAGAATGTTGCGAGCTTCAAAATGAGTATAAACACGGCCTATTTTGCTCGATTTTGATTTTCCGAGGGTCCATGCGCCTTGAAACTCGAAAAATCAGAGTTTCTAGAAATAGGTCATGTTTGAGCTTGTTTTGAAGCTCTAAACAAATTGAGTTCAAAATTTCCAAAGTTTTTGATTTGCGACAAAAAAGAAGAGAGTTACAGTAAGATATGTAAATGAGGAGTTTAAAGGCGCATGGGGCCCAGAGGCCAAAAATGAAAATTCTCCAAAATATGTCGTGTTTGGGCTCATTTTGAAGTTCTAAACAAGCCAAAACCAAAACTTTTAAAATTTTAAAGTTCTGGCTGGATTGAAGAAAGTTACAGTAGGATTTGTAAACGAATAGTTTAAAGGCGCATGGTGCCAGTGGCTCAAAAACCAAAATTGGGCAAAGTGGGTCGTGTTTAGGCTCGTTTTGAAGCCCTAAACAAGCTGAACTTTAAAATTATACTTAAAATGTCTTAAAATGCAAATTTTAAATTTCAATTCAAAATTAAAGAATTTCTTATAAATTCGAAAAGTATGAGTTTGATGACATATGTGCTGTGTATAAGTGCTCTCTCTCAATGTGTTTGATATGAAGTGAGAGAGTAAGAGGAAGAGAGACGCAAAGAAAAAAAAGATAAGTGTCAATTAATGTGTGATAAGAGAGAGAGTCATCGGGGGGCAAAAGGTGTTAGGTTGAAGGACAACTGACGGATGGTAACAAGAAAGGGTCAGAAACATTTGCTAAACGTTTCTAGAAATTTTTGAAAAAATTTATCAAAATCGCTTCAAAACTAGCCAATATACATTAATTTCAATTTTTTCCAAATTTCTTATTTTCAAACTACCGTAACCCTTTGAATTTTGGTCCAGAACTTCTCACACATACGATTTTGGGTTCACAACGGTAAGAGCTTCAAAATGAGCCTAAACACGGCATATTTTGGGAAGTTTTCATTTTTGAGCTAAGAGCACCATGCGCCTTTAAACTCCTAAAGTACAAATCTTACTGTAGCTTGGCTCCTTTTTGCCAGAAACTTGAAAATTTTTGATTTTTGGATTGAGCCTGAATAGAGCTTCAAAATGAACTCAAACACGGTATGTTTCAGATAACTTTCATTTTTGACCTCTATGCGCCTTTAAATCAATTTTTGAAATTACCGTAACTTGGCTCATTGTTGCCAGAAACTCAAAAAATTTAGAATTTAAAATTTGTCTTGTTTTTTGCTTCAAAATGATACCTCACATCGCCTGCTTTAGCGAATTTTCAGTTTTTGAGTACCCCCATGCGCCTTTAAACTACTGTAGATTTGAAAAATGCTCAAAGTGGGCGGAGTCTAGGCATGTGGGGTATCATTTTGAAGCGCGGAAAGAGTAGATTTCAGATTACAAAATAATCAAAAATTCGAATTGTAGATTAAGGAGAAAATTTGGAAAACAAAATATTTAAAATTTAAAATTTTGGGGAAAAAATTTGTTGAAGCCCAACTCAACGTGTTTTGGGTCAATTTTGATGATCTAAATTGGAAAATAAAGGAAATATGTCAGAGGTTATTTTTCAAATAAAATCTAACATAGATTCCGAAAAATTCCTGAGAATTTTCCCTCCGAAAATGAAAGAGGGGGGGGGGGGGCGCGTGATAAGCTGGCACTTACCTCTTTGCACTTGAAAAAAAGGTGTTAAACCTCTTTTTTGGGGAAAACCCTCTACTTTTTATATCACCACTTTTCTCAACAAAATAATCTCAGAAAAATCGGTGAAAAAAAGGCAAAAAGCGGGTTTAAAATGTTCTTAAGAGGCAAAAATGGAATGGAGAGGGGAAAGGATTAGTGGGTGAGGAAACCACACTCAAAGTGATTGTTTTTGAAACGAGAGACGACATAAAATGTTGATTTCTAAAATTTTAGGAATCAGGGGTCATTTTATTGCAAAAATCTGAAAAATTGGTTGAAAATTAGGAAAGTTAGAGGATTTTGAAAATTTACTTTTTTTTGCAGGACAAACAATTTTTAAGACAAGATTTCGAAGTTGGTTTCAGAAGGTTTTAAGTGGACTTTGCATAAAATGATACAATTCAAATAATTTTACAGAGTAATTGCTTTATTTTGAAACAAAAATCATGAAAATCGGATGAAAATTCGGATAGTTATATACTTTTCAATTTTATTTGATTTTTTGAGTTCAAGAAACGATTCTAGGCCCCCTATATCGCTTGTTTTAATTGGAACGAACATAACACTTACACTGTCATACTAAGCAGCTTAAAAGCATCAAAATGAGCCCAAATACGAGATATTTTGGACAATTTTCATTTTTGACCCTATGGCACCATGCGCCTTTAAACTCCTTATTTTCATATCTTACTTTAACTTTCTTCGAATTAGCCAGAAACGGAAAATTTTCGAATTTTTGAACCACCCGGTTCAGAGCTTCAAAATGAGCCTAAACACGACATATTTTGGACAATTTTCATTTTTGACCCTATGTCACCATGCGCCTTTAAAATCCTTATTTTCATATCTTACTTTAACTTTCTTCGAATTAGCCAGAAACGGAAAATTTTTGAATTTTCGAACTCACCTCGTTCAGAGCTTCAAAATGAGCCCAAATACGAGATATTTTGGACAATTTTCATTTTTGACCCTATGGCACCATGCGCCTTTAAACTCCTTATTTTCATATCTTACTTTAACTTTCTTCGAATTAGCCAGAAACGGAAAATTTTTGAATTTTCGAACTCACCCCGTTCAGAGCTTCGAAATGAGCCTAAACACGACATTTTTTGGGTAACTTTCAGTTTTGACCCCTTATGCGCCTTTAAACCTAATTTTAAAACTACCGTAACTTGGCTCATTTCTACCAGATCCTGAAAAAATTTATAGTTTCGTGTTCAGCATGTTTAGCGCTTTAAAATGAATATGCTCATGCCACGAATCAATAAAATTTGAAAATTTTCGACATTCGGGGTATGCGCCTTTAAGTGCCGAAAACCAAAACTAAAGGTATCTAGGCATATGGGGTATCATTTCAAAGCAAAAAATGTGCTAATTGAGAATATGCAAAAATTGAGTTGAAAAAGTTGAAATCCGAAAAGTTACGGTAGTTTTTGGGTGAAATTCCAAGGAACAAAATTCCAAAAAAACACCCTAGAAAGTGAGAAAAAGCAAAGTGCAAACATACAAAAAAAAAAGAGAAATAGAGTGAGAGACGCAGAGAAAAAAAAAGAAAATCTACTCAAATTACAAAAAAATCCATGGAGATCAAATATTTGTGTAAATGAAGTACCTATTTATGAAAATTGGGGTTTTGAAAGGCAAAAATGAGCAAAAATTGTAGGAAAAATCGATTTTTACACAAAATTCTAATCTAGAAACTTGAAAAAATGACGAAAAGGGAAAAAAAAAATTTTTTTCCAAAAATTTATTTTTAGTAATCATAATAGGTTTTTCCCGGATTTTTCGCCCAATTTTTAACCAAAACTCATTTCAGACATTCAGCGTTAAATGTTATTTTCAACGTCATTTTCATTGATTTTTACCCCTTTAAGGCTATTACGGACCAAAAAAGCGACAGTGTATGTAATTAGAGGGGGTTGGCTGGGGGGGATGAATGATGATGTGATGACAGCAGGTGTCTTCTGAAGACACCCCCTTCAGAAGACAGATGACCTTCTGACAGGTGTTAAGTATCAAATTAAGCCAGGCAGAAAATAAAAACCACATTAGAATAAATTTCCGCCCATGGGGAAAAAAACCAGAAAAAGTGGAAATTTTCAGAAATTTCTCTTCTAGCTACAGTAACTTTTCTCATGTTGGTTCAAACTGAAAAATTATACCTTTTTTGAATTGAACTAGTTTAGAGCTTCAAAATGAGTCTTAACACGACCTAATTTAGAGAATTTCCATTTTTGACCCAGGAGCACCATGTGCCTTTCAACTCCTCATTTAATTTCCTACTGTAACTTTCTTCATTTTTGCTGGAATTGAAAATTTTTCATAGTTTCGAATTGAAGACATTTTGGGCTTCAAAATGAGCCTAAACATGACTTGTTTTGGAAAATTTTAAATTTTGACCAACCACCCCCCCCCCCTGCCTTTTAAACCAATTTTTGAAACTACAGTAACTTGTCTCATTTCTGCCAGAAACTAGAAGTTTTAGTAGTTTTTAGATGAGCAAAACTAGCGCTTCAAAATGAGTATAGTCGTGCCAGAAAAAGTTTCAAATTTGGAAATTTCGATTTTGGGGTATGCGCCTTTAAGGGGGTCAAAAATCAAAATTGATGGAATTTAGACATGTGGGGTATTATTCGAAAGCTAAAAATGCGCTGATAAAGAATATGCAAAAATTTGAGAAAAATATCTAGAATTGAAGAAGTTACGGTAGATTTAAAATTTTGAAATAGGAAAAAAAATTTCTTTTCAACACATTTTTTTTCAACAATTCAATTCATAATTGAAACATAGTTTTAAGATAAATTGGAACAAGAAAAATTTAAGGAATGTTCTGGAAAGGGGTAATGTGAGAAGAAATGACATCACATGGGACGGATGGGGCTGAGGTGGAAGATGAGGACACACACATAAGTCGAACTGGTAAACATCACACTTAACTGTTGAGAGAGGAAGAGAGTGAAGAGACTTAGACAGTTAGAGAAAAAAACTAGAAAAATGTTTCGAAATCAGTTTAAAGAACCTTGGAATACCCAGTGATGATGACTCAGACACCCCCCCCCCCCCATGGGAGGCGTTTTGGTCCTTTTGTGGGAGAAAAATTATTTTGAAATTTTCAGAAAGCTCAAAATGCGATGAAAATCTTTTAGAAAAAATCCTTAAAATTTCAAAAAAAAAATTTTTTTTCAAAATTTCAAAAAAAAAATTTTTTTGGAATATTTTTTCGGATAATTTTGGAAATTTTCAATTTTTAGACCTTGCGTTCGCCGCTTGGAACGAGGAAATTTGAAATTTTTGACTCTACTCATTTTGCGCTTCAAAATGATACCCCACAAGTCTAGGCTCCGCCCACTTTGAGCATTTTTCAAATCTACAGTAGTTTAAAGGCGCATGGGGGTACTCAAAAACTGAAAATCGTATCATTTTGAAGCTCTTAACAAAACAAATTTAAAAATCTAAATTTTTCGAGTTTCTGGCAACAATGAGCGAGATTACGGTAGTTTCAAAAACTGATTTAAAGGCGCATAGAGGTCAAAAATGAAAGTTATCTGAAACATACCGTGTTTGGGTTCATTTTAAAGCACTGAACTAGCCGAATTCAAAAATTAAAAAATTTGCAAATTCCGACAAGAAAGAAGAGCGTTACAGTAAGAAATGTAAATTAGGAGTTTAAAGGCGCATGGTGCTCCTAGCGCAAAAATGAAAAATTTCCAAAATATGCCGTGTTTAGGCTCATTTTGAAGCTCTAATTGTCTTGAATCCAAATTTTATATTTTCTGAATTTCTTGGTCAAAATTCTTAGGGTTACG